TCAAAAGCCGTTTTGAATGCATTCATGCAGCCCTCTAATATATAATAAACTTAATTTGTAATTCCGTTGGTAAAACACTACTGATTTTTTTTGTTTGAAGAAATTGTTCATTGATGAACTGCTTGTATTCCACTATTAGAAAAATCTCTCACAACACAAGATTGAGGCCACAAATCTGCTGAAATTTGTGTGCTCTTTCAAGTAGAAGAAATGCTGTCCATAAATGGCTAATATTTTTTACTTACTTAAGTCTTTTCTATGAACATGCATTCGAATTTAAGACATTCAGTTTTGTAACTGATGTATTTGCTGTACCAGGATGGCGCTCCTTTTGCTTCAGTGCATTTGTATATACAATTGTATTGCGCATACTGTAGCTTGCAACATCTATTTTATTTTTTTTTCCTTTTGTAGTTCTTTCTACATAGTAAATATCTACATATTTATATGCACATCAACCAGCAGCTGTCGTTGAAGAAATGAAAAATGCGCAAATTATTGTATAACATTTTCGAATTCTATGCATTTCAAATAGGTTAACCTGAAGCACAAAAGACGTTTTCCTATCAAAGCACACACGGACATCCTTACTTTTGTACTAACACATGCAGCGGCTCTAACCGAAGCTCCTTGCTTGCTTCAACAAACTAAATAGTCTGCACACTGCAGCTGTCGATGCAATCTACTAGCGTATTTATTTACTTATTTATAACTTGTGTATTGCTATTCGTGTATATACATATGTATGTATGTATGTATGTACACTTGTTGTTGAAATATTGTCAGCAACCACGTTCCGTACAAATTATCTGCAGCAAGTTGACATTTGTATTGTGTGAGTTTGCGGGAAATGCATTTTGGTGGTGACATTTTTTTTTCTTCTGGTGCTCCATTCAGCTATTTATTTAATTCGCGTTTTTTTCTTCTTGGTGTATATTTTTGCACTCATAAAGAATTGCACATAATTTACGTGATACAATAATAACAACACCAGAGTGTATAAATAGAATAGTGCATTTTTATTTACCCAGCTTTTGTGGTGTAAGTTCTATGCATGCGAAATAGTGTAAATGTGTTTGCCTTTCACAAATCGCAAATAAATTGAAAGCGAACGTGAAGTGCGAACAAATGAAATAAATATTTCTGCTAAAAAAAATATATTGACATATGACCACATAGTTGTTAAAGTAAGAAATACAAATGTAGATGAAGTTTTGCAGGATTTCATATTTTAGATAAGCACTTTCATTTCACTCAATTTCGCTTTTGTTTTCCTTTTCATATTTGGTCGGTGCTGAACTACATATGTATGTATGTATGTATATATTACTAAAATAATACTAATAGCGGTGATATGTAAACAAAATCGCTTCTTATACCATTTCAGACAATGTAAAGTCTGAAACAGTGACGACCCCTGTTTTCTTACTAACTGAACGCCCAAGTAGCAGATACACTTAGCAACGATGGTGATCTTAAATATGTATACAGGGAAATCTCACGAGTTGTTACATTTTTCGACAAAACCGTGTTTTTGGTCGAACATTTTGGCACACTTATCTTGCAAAATGCACTATCTTCAGTTATGCATAAAGAACAAGATTCCACCGCGAAATTCTATTTAAATGAAAACTTAAAAAAGATATACTAAAAAAAAGTAGTTGTGTATGTAACGTATACGCCCCTTAGCACGATACACAGTCAGCTAACAAGTTTACTCGCAGGCCTTAACTTTAAAGTTATATTATTTTAGCAATTTTAGATTGAATTTCGAGTGTCCGATAAAAATTGTAAAAATGGAATTTTTGTTTCGCATAATGTAATCGTTATCTTATAAGCAATGTTATTGTTTTCATTTGGTGGTACCCTAGAATGGTTCGTTTTGGCAAGAGGAACATTTTCACCGTTTAATGTAAAATTTTTGAAGTGACCTCCGGTTGTTTTTTGCCATGAAAACATTTTTTACCAAAATTAAAAAATATGCTTTTTGAATTTTTACAAAATTTATTGATTTTTATAGTCTATTAATTTTTAATATAATAATATAAACTAAAGTTTATTTGACTTTGTAAATGTTTAAATCTTAGTGTTAAATGGATTAGGCTTAGGAAGGCGTACAGACGAAAATATTTTTGCAAACGGTTGCCACCTGTTTAAAAGATTGCATTTATAAAAAACTGATAACACAATCTAAGTACATATTGCGGAGTGGATATCAAATTAAGTAGGCGTAACAAGGCTTATAGTGGAAAATTGTATAAGGAGGGTTGCCACCTGTTTCAAAGTTTAAGTGATATTGTAAACCAAATGTTATAATATGGGTAGTTTACGAAAGATTGCTGTTGAAATTACTTTTTAGGCTGGTTGCCACGTATTTTAAAAATGTTTTTAAATTAAAATTATAAGATGAACTAAATATTAAAATGTGGGTGTCAAACTGAACGTATTTGAGAAACCTTTGTCACCTATCTAAATAGTAAAAACTAAAAAATAGTAAAAACTAAATGAACTATTAGAAAATTGGTACCAAATTGTAATTGTTTGAGAAAGCTTAACAAGACAATATTTTTTTAAAAAAGCCAACCATTATAAAAATGAAGAAAGAATATGTAATATACTACCAAATGTTCGGCGTACTTCGTTGCCGTTTTTTTTTTTAGAAAAACACGATTTTTCAACTTGAAGTCCCACATTTGAACCCCCAAATATGCCATCAGCCATAGCTTGACGAAATCTGCGAAAGTCGTCCAAAATGGGGCGTTGAGTCTGTCCTACCCTACTAATTTTTTGCGCGTATCTTAATCAAACCAAAAATTCCAATTGGAACTAATTATGTATGAAAATTCACCATAATTCACTGGATGCCCATTAAATCTTCACAACTATTTTAAAGAACCTTTAATTCGTTAACAGGAATTTAATAACTTTCTATGTGGCCAACTCGTTTCTACCTTTATGAAATATTTATTTTCATCCATTTATACTTTTCGATTCCAATTTCGAAACCATTTTTATAATTTGATATCATCTTTCTCAATATGTCCACGTTTCTGCAACATCATTAATGTAATGAATTTCCTTCTGTTGTCTCATCAATAATAATAACCTAAATCCTCCGTCTGTCATAGTTACTCATACGCCATGGATGGTGTATGCCATCTTACGTCAATTCTGTTCTACGAAATGAATGTGGATGGTAGACTGATTGACTAACTGGATGGGCGGATGATTTTTCCAATGCTACAAATGCGCAGCAATTACAGCAAATTTGTGCCATACATTCTACTTACTACACAATGTAGACATACGTACATACATAAGTACGTATAAAAGTATGTAGGTATTTAAACACACATCTGCGCGCGCTATTTGAATGGTTCTACCAAACAAGCATACATATATACTTACTTACATACCTGCAGGTGTACATACTTACTCGAATGTAAGCGAACAATGACTTCCAAAACGACTTCATGCAATCACTCATCCACGCAGTCATTCATGCATGCCCTCATTGCTGTATAGCTATGCATCTATTCATTCATTTATTTGACGGCGAACGCCTGCGATTCTTTTCATTTGCTGCCTTTTCATAGCAGAGCACAAAACAAAACCAAAACAAAAACAAAAAAAAAATAAGGGGGAAAACGAAAATTTTTACTCGCGCATTGCATTGATTTGCTGGCGAGTTTTGCACAGCTCTCGAGTTAGGATTACAATAACATTGATTCACTGTTTTTGCGTCACTGTTGTTGTTGTTGTTGTTGTTATCACATTCATTCACCAAACATTCTAGCTGAACAAGCCAACACTGCTCAATGTCCAGTGAGGCCACACCGATTGACGTGCACTGACAGCTGTGACAAACAAACGAGCTGATATACAAAGCTGAGGTTGTTCCCAACGCTGAATGAACAGGCGAAAGGACGAAAGCTGCATTGAATAAACGGACCCTCAAGCACTGTCTCTCACTCTATCGAGGAGTAGGGAAATCGAAGATAGCGCGTGCACTAACAAACAATTTTGAAAAACGAATAAGGTGGGAAATGAATGGGTGGTCGAAAAAATACTAAAAATAGCGCAGAATATAAGCAAGTAGAAGACACACACACACACACATATATATGTACATCAATGTAGATCTGACCCCCATAAGTAAGTTTGTAGATAGAAAAACATATATGCACACATACGTGTACATACACACATATGACAAACTTTATAAAACAGTCGGCATTCACTTGCCACTTCACACGCCAAGCATTTTTTGTTTGGTTTTTTCATCATCACCCCTGTGGTCAAAATGACCTCCAACATTGGCGCAATCATTTAACATCCTTCAGTTTACCATTTCATAGTGGTTGTACCATGATTCTACGCAAGGATTTTCAAGTGGCCGGAGTGCCATGAAGACTACTGTAAGGTCCTTGGCCGGCAGATTTGTGAATATGTTGGAAGCGTGCACATACTGCCTTGCCACTGCTGTGTTGCTAGTATTTCTAGCAATTTGGAAAACAAAAAAAAGTGCGTATCGGACATAAGCTTGCACACAAATATGTACGCTTGTTTGTTTGTCGCCTATGTGTGCTTTTGTAAATGGTTAGACGTCATTCCCACTGTTATTGTCACGTACGAAATATTGAAGTATTCCAATGGCGGGCTCTCTGAGGAGGTGCATCGTTTACGGTTTGTGTAAAGGCGTAAATTAAGGGTTTATGATCAGTGTAAATTACGAATTGCCTACCTTCTAGTATGTGGCGAAAATGCTGAATAGCCTGGTAGACCGCAACCAACTCCCGATCATACGTTGAATATTTTTCTTGCGCTGACGTTAGTCGCTTTGAGTAGAATCCGAGCGGCTGGTGTACATCACCGATGATTTGATGAACTACGGCACCCACTGCGTTGTTCGAGGCATCGGTCGTTAGAGTCAGTTCCGCAATCGGGGACATGTGACTCAGGAGAGTAGCGTGATCGCTGACTTCCATGATTTTGTCAGCTCATTTGGCCAGTTCGGGCAGTTCAGATGTGGATGCCTGAAGGGTAGCGCGAGTCTGAGGGGGCAAACGCTGAAGCCAAAGGGATTTGAGAAACTCGTTGCTTATTCTGTCTCGGGCGAGACCACTCAGCTCCCGTAAAAGTTGTGTGGGCCGTCGGTCACCTAGCTCGCATTCAGATAAAAGTTTTTTCATCTTTTTCTCTTCGCTTTCGCCGAACCGGTCGATGATGCACTTTTTTAAGTTTTCGTATTTTCCTTCTGCTGGTGGTTGTAGCACTGCCTCCGTAATTTGCGCTAACACGTGAGATTCAATGGATGCGATCACAGTGTTAAATTTGGTTATGTCCGATGAGATTCCAGCAATGCAAAACTGGGCTTCTATTTGCGCGAACCAAATCTCTGGTCGCTCTGCCCAGAATGGTGGTATTTTAACGCTGACTTTATTAACGAAAATACCATTGCTTTCTTGGTTAAGCAGGTAGTCGTTGTTGGAAGGTTTTTGCTGGACATCGCTTGGCGTAGTTGCTTGATGTGGAGCCGGTGTTACTTCGTTCTCGGCCATTTTTTCGAAAGGATGGTGCGTTGCGAAAATTAGTCGTCGGGGTCACCAATTTAGCTGGTTTGGCTAATTTTATGTTGAAATAAGAACCACGTTTTTCTCCGCTGACTAGCAAAAGCAAAATCACAATTTTCTTTATTTCCTCTTCTTAGTTTAGGGTTGCATTTTATCTTACATACTAAAATATTCAGGGTTGCTAATTTTCATAAGTGATAATTATAAGTTGAGTTGCCACCTACTGTAGAATCGCTACACTCACATTGCGGCAATCAGCTCCATTACTGTCAAACTCATAGCAGCTGACTAGCGTTTTGTTGTAGTGGTTTGTGAATTTTGCTTTTTGTCTTTCGAACTAAAACTTCGTCTTTTATCTGTTTATGTGTGCACTGCAAAAAAAAACAAAACAAAAAAAAAAATATGTTAGTAATCCATGCAAGTAGAAATTTGAGTTTTGGGCGTATATTTTAATTATTATTTAAATTGTACTTTATTAACTGAAATTGCGCTTTAAGTCGGATAATTCTATTTTTGTATTTAACATATTAAACTACATATTAACTTGGTTAATAATTAACGCCAGTTACGTCAGTTTGCACTTTTATCACAAACTACTAAATTGCCCTCACCCGCTTCGCTGAGTCATATGAAATTTTAAAATGTTTCAAACTAAAATTTTCTTAAACATCTTCCTTGTGATCTATTTTTAATTAATTTATCTACTTTGAACAGGTGGCAACCCTGCTACATGTAGTTTAGAAATGTATCCTATTCAAAACCATTTCGGTCGATACCCATATTGTAATAAACCATAAAAGTTAGTAAATAATTTCAATTTAACTGATTGAACAGGTGGCAACCTACTTAAATCTCTTTCGTCAGACACCCATAATGTGATATGTATGTACATATATATTTGGATAACGTAATTCCCATAGTCCGATTTGAGTTTGATTTTTCAAACAGGTGGCAACTCTACTATATGTAGCTTAGAAATAAAGCCTTTCCAAGCCATTTCCATTTATAATCCTATTGTGGTAATTCACTTATTAAATATCTTAATTCTAATTTAAAAATGGATGGCAACCCTCAGGAAATATCTCGGAAAATTCTACATGTTTAAATTAAAGATGTCTAAACACTCTCTCATTTGACACTTGAACTTGTGAATAATTTCATTAAATTCGACTTTTTAAACAGGTGGCAGCCCGCTTCAAATAATTTTCAAACTGTAACCTGATTATTGACACAAGTAAAATTGGATTTTTCAAGTACGTCGCCACCCTCCGACTTTCAATTAAGAAAAAGAGCATTCTAAAACCAATTTCGATGGATGGCCATATTTCAAATAATTCGTATAAAGTAATTTATTTAATTTTTAAGCAGATGGAAATCCTTGTAAAACACCTCAATAATATTCTAAATGTTCAAAAAAAGGCTTCTGATATGTCAAATCCATATTTTAATTTTTCATATAGCCTGCGAATAATTAATTTTCAAACTACAATCTTTTTAAGCCCCTTTTGTCGGACAATCATATTGTAATATAAATTTCAAATAAATGATTCCCTTAATACAAGTTAAATTTAATTTTTTAAACAGGTGGCGGCTCTACCCTTTGAGTATAAAATTGATTTTATATACCTCCATACTAAGTTCCAGTACTCTATCACAAATATTCTTGAGTTAGGTTAGGTTAAGCTGGTTGTTCCTTGTCAAGGGGCTCACTTAGACTCTCTGTATTGGTTCTTTATGATATAACTGAGCATGAAGTTTCACAGGCGGCAGATGTCCTGGACCTTCCGTTGTATTCGTGGGCATCCTTGCTTTTGTTGTCAATGAGTCGAAGGTTATTTTTACCGCCCAAATGACAAGCTCATAGATCATGCATAGAACAGTTATCCCAAAAGCTACCTCCACAAATTAGGATGGGTTTTATTCGTCGAGGGAGTGGGCTCGGCTTTTGAATTTTCTACCGATACAGGCTGTCATTACTTGTATGGTGCTGTTTATGCGGTGTCCTACGTAGATAAGGTTGCTCGCAACTTTTCTTGCCCTCGTTTACCATTAGTAGACCAACCTATTTTGCTTCTTTTTCAAAGCTATTTACGCTGGTGTTACGGTTCAGCATCGTGCTTAAAAGAAGAAAATGTATCTAATATGTGTGCAGAGATAGCTTTAAAAGTAAAATGCAACCTTAAAACATCCTTTCACATGAGTTGAATTTTTAATATGAACAACATTAATGCGCTACTAAAACATAACCATAACTTCAGCCATACACTAAATAAACGCACAGCAGCCAACAGGTCTTCCTGAGTAGCCTAAAGTAACTTTTGCGCATGAAAGCTGGCAACAGTTGGCGAAAAGTTAACAACAGCTGTTGCTGTTGGCTAAAAAAAAAAAAAGTTTCAAATTTCTTTTCGCTCATTTTTATGCATAAGCTATTTTTAGGAAATGTTTTGTTAGTTTCCGCAAAAGAGGACTTTGCAAAAATTAGTCCCTTAGGTAAATGCCAGTTTTATGCTCGCATCTGCCATTTTATGTATGTATGTATATACATAAGTACTAGCGAAAATTATAAATTTTTATATTCGCTTTTATTTTTTATGTTTCTCACAAATTTTTGCGTTTTCTTTTAAAGCTTCAGCAAACATACATTTAGTTTGGGCTAATGTTTGCAACCTTTCTACAAGGCACTCATTTCGCCAGTAATTGACTGCTAGGCTAAAGTGCGAAATTCTTAATAGCGAGTTCACTAATAAGACAGTAGCAGTTTCCTTCCTTTCGACATGTTGCATACTTCCTGTTCATTTCCCGTCCACCATCTCCAACTCTTCTTCGTTGCTTTTATGCCTTTGTCAAAACCGTGCGCCCGCTTTTCCGACTAACTGAAACTGAAAATAACAACAAACCCATTTTTCCACTTGGATGCCTCGTAATTTTTCACAAAACCCTTAACCTTTCCAAAATTATGTCCCTGAACAGATTACAGCATGTGTAATATTTAGCATCCTTTTTTTG